CCCAAAACCTGTACAAAACAATTACCAAAAAAGAAAGAATCCAGGAGGCCGATGGTTCAGAGCAGCGAACACCAGGTCTCTAAGGGGCTAGCCATCCCCACACCTGATGTCTTCCCACCCCAGGCCAGATGGCAGAGCCAGGTCTTTGAATCCCTCCAGAAGGTCGTTATATAATAAACGTTGACTGTTTTCAGTATGATTGAGAAAATCTTGCTAACTCATATACACACACACACACACACACGTAAAGATATGGCTGTATTCTTTTAGTCAGATGAATTGACTATGGTGCTTCAAAGTATTTCCTCTTCTCTCATCTCTATCTTTTGCCAGAGGCTCTCATTTTAACACCTGGGATAGCTAGTATTTTTATTTTTTTTACAAATAGATTGGAGTTCTTGCCACAATCATAAACTCATCGCAGATTTTATTGTGTTTTTTTATAATATCAGTCATACTGGTTGCTATTTATTTCCTGCTAGAGAATAAATTGTAATTTTGGCACAAGTAGAGCAGGAGGCCAGAACATTGCCAAAAAAGTAAATTATCTGTATACCAGGAAACTTCATTTCTCTGATTAATAGGTTGTTAGTAAGAAAGTTCCGTTTGTTATCTGATTTTACAATAGAATCTGAAATTAAATATGGGGGTTTCCATAATTTCAGGATGCATTCCTCTAAACATTTCACCATTGATGTCCATTCCTAACCACAGTGAATCCAAAACGATGAAATGTACATTATGGCATCACAACACAAGTATATAAGTGGAAGGAATCTGCATTACAGCTTCATAGCATGAATTTCATCACACACACACCCCTTTTTTTTTCTTGGATGCTTAGACATTTGCTATGGTTTTCTTCACTGAAGTCAATAAGGCTGCTTGAGAATTTATAGCGGAACCACCGCAGTTAAATAGTGGAAATACAGAATGGTGCAACTTCTATTTCTATACTGAATGTGGGTTGTTTCCCCTTCTGTGACCTGAGCTTGCTGCACTGGCACTTGTATTGCTGATATTTGTATTGAGTAACTTGAAAAGCACACTTTGGATGTACTTTGAGGCTTTGTAGCTGACCATACACTTCTTCCAACAAGGACAACCTAGCACAAAAGCTGCTGGACTTGGAAGGATGTATAATCCTTACGCAGTTGTTTTGCATATAACAAGAACTTACTTAACTCTATTACAGGTTACAACTATCCTTTGTGAAGTAGGATTATTACATATTTTCTATAATAGCACTGATTATAAACAAATAACAAAATGGCAGTGCAAATATTATAGACATACTGGAGTCCACAATGGATCCAAAATATACTAAGAAAAAAACTTAAACAATTGTCTGCCAAAAATTCACTGTTTCTGGCCACCTAAGAGGGAGGAGGAGGGGTTGAGGTGGAGAGGAAGAGGAAGAGGGGTTTGCATGTTATGGCCCTATCTGGACAATTGTTAGCCATTAAGCTAAAGCTTGAATTGACTCTAAATTACCAGCATTTCGTGAGCATTCTTCAGAACAGTATGTGTGTGTGTGTGTGTGTGTGTGTGTATAAGCTTAGCATTATTTGAGCAATATTAATTCCAAATCAGTGTCATTGTCTATGCTATTTAATGAGTTTGCATAACTTACACCTGTTGCAGATCTCTCACACATGCACACACAATCTGCTAAAATAACTCCATATAAAACAAATCACAGATTGTTTCATGAATCTGTAACCATATGACATCCACACCATTTCCGTGCTAGCCATTACAATTCACAGATGTAAATGGATTAGGCAGAATGTATTGAAAAATGGATTAATTCGGCGTAGACTATTTTCACAAAGAATTTAAACCAAGTATGAATGTTCATTGTACTAAGCAGGTTTTTCATAAGAGACAACCCTGGAAATAATGCCTTGACTTGTGTTCTGTAGTTTTCTAATAAAATTTTTAGTGTTTCCTTAAAAAACAGTCCTACAGATCTCTTTTAAAAGTAAGTTCAGTGTGATTATTCCCAGGACAGAGGACCATTCTCTAAATTGATAGCAATCTCATCCCAAATTCTATTTGGATTTGTCTGAATTCATAGAAGATTTGAATCATTCTCTTGATTCCTTCATGCCATCTGCAGGTTCAAAGGTTATTCAGAACTGCAAAAGCTGATCCATGCTATTTTCATGTTTAACAACCAGACTGGGATTAAAACAAAATCCTGGATTTTCCAGAGTGTTTAAAGTAGTGGGTCTTCACTTAGGGGTCTCAAGATGTGGCAGAGTCTGGTTCCTGTAATTCCCAACCAGCAATGCTTTTGTTCATATTGAGTAGGGGATGTGGTAGTTGCAGTCCAACAGATCTGGAGGGGCACCAGGTTGGGGAAAGATAGTTTTTTAATACCAAAAGGTAAGGTAGGTGTGGCAGCAGCAGAACGTTAAAGCATGCAGATTACCTTAAATTCCTGTAAGGCATAAGAGTAAGACTGGTGG